CCAGGAAAAAAGTATTTACAGATCATCTACATGTTTTACTACCTCAATACAAAAAGCAAGCCTTACTTCTTGTAAAAACATGACTAAGCCAAGAAAAGAATGCAGCCTGGCATTGTACAGGAGCCAGTAAAACACTATTTTTAGAGTCCTTTAGTGGCTACTTCTTTTATTGTTAAATACAAGGAAACACTCTCCACAAAACACTGTTGTAAGCATCCAATGATTTTCTATTAAGGGGCAAATGATGTAACTGATTTACTGCCTTGAGACAGAGAAATGCTTAAGACAGATAAATGCCAGGGCAGGAGGTGTAACTACTGGGCACTAACATTATTTTTTAAGATGGAAAGATAATTTGTTAGTAATTTTTCCAGGCGTATTATTTGCAACTAACAACAAATGTTCAAGCACTTAACTGCACAGAAGGACTACAGAAGCATGTAATGAAGATACATCAAAAGCCACACATGCAGCCTTTCTGGTGGAAAAAGTGACATTTCTATTCAGAAGTCATCTAAACTACACTGATCAACTACATAAGTATCTCTGCAGTTGCAAAACACAATTAATTAGATGTCTAATAATCCCAGATGGAAAGCTCTTCTTTCAAGTATTTTTCTTCTAAGTATAAGGTGTTCTGTGAAAAAAAAACCAAAAATATCTAGAATTCTGTCAATTTCTTTCCAGTGTCTCATTAAAACACTATAAATAATGACTGGTCCTTAAACTGCCTAAACCTTGAAAGATCCTTCAGAGAAACTGAAGGCTGTGAAGGAATCCCAAGAGGATAATTTGAAATTTCCAGGTGTTAGGGCAGTACAGGTAGATCCTTGAAGTATAATTAACACAAACATATTGTCTTGGTGATTCAGTGATCAAAAACATGAAGGAGCTTGTGATGAAAAGCAAAGGCACAAGTTGTTCACAGATGAGACATCAGACAAGTTACCAAAGACTGAAGATGGGATCTCTCCTAGCACAGTGTAAAAAGCAGTGTAGGAAAGCATTATACCAAATGGACTGAGAGGAACAACACAGAATGTAGAGCAGTCAATATACTAAAAATGGTACCTCATTTGAAAGGAGTTATTGCTTAATAAGAAATATGAAAAAGTGGCCACATCTTGTTAACAGCTTCAGGACTCAATATTCCCTGCCTCCTCCTTTCCAGGAAGAGTGATCAGCTTGTGTGCACTGGTTTTTCTTGGGATAGAGTGAATTTTCTTCCCAGCAGCAAGTACAGGGTTTGTGTTTTTGATTTGTGATGGAAACAGTGCTGAGAACTCAGGGATGTTTTTGATATTGCTGGGCAGTGCTTTACACAGAGCCAAGGCCTTTCCTGCTCTGCATCCCACTCCACCAGTGAGGAAGCTGGGGGTGCGCAAGGAACTGGGAGGGGACACAGCCAGGACAGCTGACCCCAGCTGCCCACAGGGATGTTCCAGATCATATGGCTTCATGCTCAGCACATACAGCTGGGGAAAGAAAAGAGGAAAGGCAGGGGGGACATTTGGAGTGATGGCATTTGACCTCCCAAGTCACTGATACATGTGATGGAGCCCTGCTTTCCTGGGGATGGCTGAACACCTGCCTGCCCATGGAGTGTCTCATTAAAACACTATAAATAATGACTGGTCCTTAAACTGCCTAAACCTTGAAAGATCCTTCAGAGAAACTGAAGGCTGTGAAGGAATCCCAAGAGGATAATTTGAAATTTCCAGGTGTTAGGGCAGTACAGGTAGATCCTTGAAGTATAATTAACACAAACATATTGTCTTGGTGGTTCAGTGATCAAAAACATGAAGGAGCTTGTGATGAAAAGCAAAGGCACAAGTTGTTCACAGATGAGACATCAGACAAGTTACCAAAGACTGAAGATGGGATCTCTCCTAGCACAGTGTAAAAAGCAGTGTAGGAAAGCATTATACCAAATGGACTGAGAGGAACAACACAGAATGTAGAGCAGTCAATATACTAAAAATGGTACCTCATTTGAAAGGAGTTATTGCTTAATAAGAAATATGAAAAAGTGGCCACATCTTGTTAACAGCTTCAGGACTCAATATTCCCTGCCTCCTCCTTTCCAGGAAGAGTGATCGGCTTGTGTGCACTGGTTTTTCTTGGGATAGAATGAATTTTCTTCCCAGCAGCAAGTACAGGGTTTGTGTTTTTGATTTGTGATGGAAACAGTGCTGAGAACTCAGGGATGTTTTTGATATTGCTGGGCAGTGCTTTACACAGAGCCAAGGCCTTTCCTGCTCTGCATCCCACTCCACCAGTGAGGAAGCTGGGGGTGCGCAAGGAACTGGGAGGGGACACAGCCAGGACAGCTGACCCCAGCTGCCCACAGGGATGTTCCAGATCATATGGCTTCATGCTCAGCACATACAGCTGGGGAAAGAAAAGAGGAAAGGCAGGGGGGACATTTGGAGTGATGGCATTTGACCTCCCAAGTCACTGATACATGTGATGGAGCCCTGCTTTCCTGGGGATGGCTGAACACCTGCCTGCCCATGGAGAATAAGTTCCTTGCTTTGCTTGGGTATGTGGCTTTTTCTTTCACTATTAAACTGCCTTTATCTCAACTCATGAGTTTTCTCACTTTTACTTTTCTGATTCTCTCCCCAGTCCCACTATGGGGGCACTGAGTGAGTGGCTCTGTAGGGCTGAGCTGCCAGCTGGGGTTAAAACAATGATAAAAAATTCCTTATCACAGAAGGCAAAAACCCTACATGTAAGAGAAAGGAAATAAATCCTAATAAACAGGAGAGGATGAAGGTGCAGTGGCCTGTAAGCCAGCAAATTTAGATCACTACATCAAGAATTTCATGTGTTTTCCCACTTAGATATTTTGTAAGTAATAGCTAAATCAAGAAAAAAGAAGGTGAATAAGCAATTACTAAGTCACTTTAGGTAGTTTAGCTAAGTAGTTAAAGTTTGATAAAATAGGTCAGAATCTTGGTTTCAAATAACCACTCTTCCAACTGACTTCCTCATTGCTAAAAATTTTCCTCTAAAAATGAATTAAAGACATACCCTCTGTAGCAGGATATTTCATGTATGCCAAAAATAAAAACCATTATTAAAGAATTCATAGTCTTCAAAGGTAAGGTCAAAGAAGCAATCAATAACCTGATTGTAACACAAAATGAAGAAGTTTTAAAAGGCACACAATAACACAACTTGGTAAAAGCTCAATTTCAGGAACACATTGTGCTACAGCTGGGAAAACAAACAGCAGGACTGACAAATACAGAGTAATAGTCTTCTTCATGAAATTTGACATCTCCTACATAAATTTCAGCACAGCCTTTCAGTATTAAATTGTTCAAAAACTGTCCCCATTACTTAAGTATTGAAGATTTGTTAACTGCTGTCTTGAGTGAGTGAGGCATTTGCTAAGACTGCAAGACTGACAGCATGGATGCTATGATGCTCTTTGTATCCATGAAGTAGAACAGCACAAGTAATCTAGTATGGAATTTGACAGATTTATATCAAGTTAAACATAAGCAATTTAAATCTGAACATTAAGAACATAATCAACTGCAATCACAGATGAGATCTACAGGATTATTTTATGGTTTAATAAAGCAAATGACACTTCTTTCCTCTCCTTAATGAAGACTTGTGTGGGGGGAGAGGAAAGTGAAAGGCACTGAGAATTACCATGATAACTCGTCGCAACTTCTTTGCAAAAAGAACATTAAATCTTCTGGAAATCAAAATAACCTGGACACATTTTTACTCTAACTTCCATTTTATGTACACTATTGTTAATAAAATACAAACACTACCCAAAATTTAACTGCCCCTGACTGCTCTTACTGGAATTATTTGCAGTTTCTCAACCTCTGCATGCACATTAAGTTTTCACAAAGTACATGCAGTTTTGTCAGTATTAAATTGCTGGCTCCACCTAGTGTTGTTCATGCTCTATTCCTACAGGCATTGAAAAGCAGAGAGCCAGTCATAAGACAGAGCTGAGCACTACTTCTGCTTGCTCCTTGGAAACAGCATCCCTGACCCACCTCACACACAGAGCTGTGCACACCCCGAGCAGCATTTTCACCAGCACTGACTGAATAGCTCCCACGGCCTCTCACTTATAAAAGAAGCCATTTTCCTTTTTTGTTTTGTTCTTAAAATAACAAAATACAGCTTTTAAACTACTGTGGAGACAAAAAAGGAAGCCAGAAGTCTTCTGATAACTTACTCAGAACACACTTTGATTCCACTGATGAGGTAGTATTGCTATTACTGCGACAGACCCTTTCAGGATTAGAGTTGTTTCTCAGAAAAACTGTTCCTCCAGTATGGATTGAGCCTAAGGAACAGCGGATGGCTCATCTATTCTTATTGTCTTTTCCTGGGAAAGGGTATCTGTCTGGACAGCACTTCTATTTGGTATCTAGGAAGCTTTTAACCCAAAGTGATTTTAGGCTACATTTTATCTACCATGATTGAAGCAACAGCTCAGCTTTAGTCAGGGCTGTGTCAGAACCGGAAGGCAGACAGGGCTGATTCACCCAGTTTGCATGTAACAAAGTTTCACTCCAAAGCAAATTTTACATTTCTCAAATGCTACAATGATTTGTACTCAGTTAACCAAAATACAGGCTGCACTAACATTTAGATCTTATGATAACTTGACTTAGTATCTGCAGACCAGAAGATACTATGTTTTTCTTACAAACACCAACTTGTATATTTGTATTTTAATCTTCTAAAAATCCTGCTACTAAAGTTACCAACAAGCAAACACATACAGCAGTTTTGAATCATCTTTAGATTCTGAGCCTTATTTTATTCAGGTGCCCTGTTTTCTTGTGACAGCACTATTCTTCCATCTTATAGTGGTTTACAGTAAGCCAATTACTAACAATCATTGTTTTGGTTTCAATCATTATGCCTATAGGTTTTAAATCTGTTCACTTTATAAGCATTAAGATAAATAAATAAATATTAGATAAACCCATTTAAACACAGTGCATACTTACCTATAAGCATTAATGTAATCCTTTCTGTGTTGTAGAAGAAAATCTTTCAGCTTTCCAATATGAGAAATCTAAACAAAAAGAAGTCATAATTAAATTTCAGATTATTTTATGTTTGAAGTTCAGTATTCCACACTTCAAACATGAATTCATAAATTTCTTATTCTATAATTAAATAGATTAATAAAATGTACTCTTTTATAGTAGAATTCTCACATTTTCCAAGCAGTCAATACATAAAAATAAGCTAAAAAAAGATCTGTTGTATGAAGTTCCACCTTGGAGAACAGCAGTAAAAATACGTGTCTTCTTCCCAAAGAACATAAACTAAGCAGTAAATATAACTACAATATTAAACATTAAAAATATTAAACATGGTAACACAAAATATCATCTAAATTTTCAATCCAGAATTTAATGATTCCAGAATTTAATGTACACTTTGGAAATAAATTAATTTTGGAAGACCACACAAGAAATTTTTCAACTCTTTACTGATCAGACATACATATTCAAGTCCAACTATCAAAACTTGTATGGCAAGGTACTGACCCTCCCCTTCTACTTTTGCCCTAATACAGTGACCAGTTTGTGCCCAAACTAATGTCTCTACTATCTGATAATCATTAGTAAACTTTGCCAGATCATACATAACAATCTGATTTCCATTTCCGAATTTCCACCTCAATCTGGATAACTTTTACTATATATCGCTTTATTTTATTTTTAAAGAAATCTTTACAAAGATCTTTTGGAAAGCCAAAAAAAAAAAAAAGAAATCTGAAACAACTTTTGAAAACTTCAGTCTAATTTAAAAGATTTGGTGTAGCATAAGATGCTGCTTATTTTAGAGAATGAAGGGACTACGGAAGTACAGCTTAATTCACCAGAGAAATGAGAAGACACGATGGGGAGGGAGAAAAGGGAAGAGAATTCTATACATTCGCAATATATATTTTCTGAGGCAACTTTTAAAACTATATTCTCAAATATTAATTAATAACTCAGTGTAAACAAAGCATGAAAGGCATTTTACAACACAAAAGTTGTTTTCATTTACAATAAATATGGTTTACTCCACGTATCTGGGAAAAAGTATCAGAAACTGTTCTAGTCTTAAAATCTCATTTTCATGCAAATGATCTATGCAATTAAACAAACAAAAAAACCACAGAGAAAGAACAGAATTGTTTGGATAAATAGAAGATTAATTCCCCCAATTTTTTTTTTTTCAAAAGCAGCTCTTTGAAAAAAAGTGCAAGGAAAAAATGTACTTAGTAAGACCACAGTAATTTGTACAACTCAAGAAAAGTGTTTCCTTATGCAAATATATAAGACTCCATTTCCCTATTACTATTATTTGCTCTGTTTCAGTTTTACTATAATTCATCATATTGGATAAGGATTTTCCCAGTTTTCAAGTCTCAAGTTTTTTGAGTGATTATCACAGGAAATTTCATCCCATTCATAGCAAACAGAATTCTGCCAGTACCTTCAGGAGTTTCCCAAAGTGTGTTAGCACCATTATACACAGCAAGAAGGGAAATACTGCAATTGCTACAAGACCAATGAGGCACAAACAGTAAGCTAAACCATTCTACAGATGTTCCTTCTCATCACCACTTGAACTTAATATTTGTACAGTAATCTCTTTCTCAGCTCAAACTTGGTATGTCATCAAATTTGCTGAATAGACTAATCAAGCTTGACTATGAAAGTGAAACATCTAGAACAGTTATACAGTGTTCCAGTGGAACAATACTACTTAATAGGCAGAAAGAAAGTACTACAGAGGACAAAACAAATGTAAAATAAGAAATGTTCCAAAACGCTTATATTAATGCATGAGAAAACACTAAACTAGAATATATATAAACAAATTCTGTAAGCAATAAATCTTAATATTACTGCAATAGTTACAATTTAGGAGTGATTAACAAGCAGAAAGAATCAGAATGACAAGCAAGAGCACTGTCTTACAGTAATTAATTCATCTAGTCACAAAGAGCATTCTATTTAGTCTAAAATTGTCATCATGTGTTTGAATTGCACTGACCCCACTTTGCCTCTCCTTCATTTGTAAAGCTATTTTCATGAATTTAGAATGACACCATTATGCCCATACTCACATCAAGCTCTTAGTTCCCAAGATTTGCATCAGAAGTGAGACTTGTTTTAGTTTCCCTCAAATTCTAACAGCACCTTCTGCAATCCTGCACTGCAGATATTTCTTTCTCCTTTTGTTACCATGTACTATTGGCATATCTTTGAATTCAATTTGTCATAACCATAAGAACAAAATTAACTTGTTTTATTAAAAAGAAGGTCTCACTAGTATTAAAGGAAGGGAGTGCTAATTTTATTTTACAAAATTGATTGGTTTTCTGTATGATGCTCAAATTTTTATAGATACAAAATATCCCACATTATACAAAGATAAATCCTGAAGATATCTCCAGGGTAATCAATTTACAATTATTCTGGTGTTATCAGGGGCCCACCATACACTCTTTACAAAGTCACCAAGCCTCAGCCTAAAGGGAATAAAGCTTCCCTCTATTACAACTGAGTGGCTTTATTAGAATACTATTCCTCTTATTACTGTCAAATTATTGTCTAATTTCCAGGTTTACTGATTACCAACTTCTATACGTCTCTTCTTGCTTCAGAATGGTCCTTTTCCTTAAAAGTTCTGCTTCCCTGCATGTGTGTTTGACTTTACTGTCGGTAATTCATTCTATCTATCTATCTATCTATCTATCTATCTATCTATCTATCTATCTATCTATCTATCTCTAACTTTTGTAGCCCAGACAAATAACCCCAAGCTTTTATTTGCTTCTCACAAAACAGTTCTGAAGTGGCAGAACCCACAGCTTCCCTCTGCATTTGTTCCAGTTTCTATCCATCCATTTCCAATGCAAATGACTAGAAAGGCATTCACTGCTGTTGGTTACTTTGTAACTATTTCTACTGGAAACACTTTTTTTTTCCCCTACTATTTTTTTTCTAGATCCCAGTATGTATCCTGCTTTTACCCCACTGGTCTATGGCTTTTTCCTTATTAATTTAGCCTAGAGTCTATGACTAAACCATTCTTCATCTATACTCCAATTTCATGACAAATCCACACTTTTTGCTAATTTTTTTTTATTAAAACAGCTGAAGAATATTTTAACTTTAGGAGGGTTTTAATACCAGTAGCAACTCATTGTGAACTTAGCCAAACCTAACTTTATCTCTGTAAAAAAAAGTCTTCCCTTCTTGTAACAGTTTTCTTGGCCAGTCTTTCTCACCCTGCTTTCCACTGCCTCTGGGATAAATTTTTGTATCCTCTCTTAATTAATCTTTCAAGTAGATCTAGTAGAATTTTAAATCCCACTTGCATTTCAGCACACCCATTTTTCCACTCCATTTACCCATCCATCATAACTGCAACTTCCGATTTGCTCAACATGCCTGTTTCCAAAACATTTTTACCACCACTTGACACAGGTGTCAAAAGGATAGATGAGAGCAATTTGAAGAAGCACAAACACATCTGAGTATTGGCCTCTCGTCATGGTATTCATTCTTTGCATCTGGAAATTTACTTCCTTTTTCTCCTGAAGTCTGCAGCAGAGAAATAAGCCTTTCCTTCAACCCTGAAATAAAGAAATTATTTCCTTCCTTCCCCCCAACCCCTGCAGAGACAGGAGGGCTTAGAGAAAAACCCTTCATAGCTGCAGCACTCTTGCACTACATAACAACTAAACTTATCTTACAGGGAAGAACACTGCTGCATTTCCCAATAACTGACATTTCTAAGGGAATCAGGGAATAAAATACCTTTCCTCACAATATTGTGAGCACCAGTTATATCATTACAGCAACAGCATCTTCTTGAGCTTCTGTGCACTCCCAGAATGCGGTAAGTTATGTTCATTCTAGGAATGAAGACTACTTAGGAAACTCCATGCTCTCCCTCTTCTCTTCCCATTCCCACTGACACTCCCTTGAGGGTCAATATCACACTCCAAAACACTGAAATTACTTTTTTTTTTAAATTACTCTTCTGGAAAGAATTGGTTTCTTTCATTTCAGTTCCACAAATACCTGTATCAGCACAAAGGAGGGCAGGAGCTGAATAGCCCTGGTAGGGAACTTCCCACAAGACACATCTGCCGTGAATGGATAAGGTATATTTAATTACAACCTAAAAAATTCAACATGGTAACCTCCTAAGCTCAGTTACTGAATCTGGAGACTCCAGATGTTATTTAAAAACTCCAAATTTCTAGTTCTAATAATGAAAACCCATTTGACTCTCTACAGTAAAGCAGCAGCAGTTTGCCACTACATGGCAAACAAAAGCATCAACATCATGCAAGTGAAAACCACTATAAATTCACATTAAAGCCTGTAACGTAACTTTTTAAAAGTTACTTTAGGTTCCAGTTACCACTTGACCCTCAGTAAACTACCTCTTTAATACATATATCTGTGTTTTGTTGCCAATACAGATTTTTTAAACAGCTCTTATTAAAGCATAAAAGCAATTATTGCATCTAATGCAGGTCCGACACAAAAGGAAGCTGTGAATAGCTGCCATCTGCTACCACAGGTGGCATGCATAGCTCTATTTATACTTGGGGCCTGCAGTAGAAATGGTAGATGTTCCTCTGTTTAGAGATTTTTCTAATGATTTCAGAGCAGGCTAAGTTATTTAAAAAGATAAGAAACAGGGAAGCATTGCCTCCAAAGCAGCATCTTGATGAGACGCAGAGGCTTTAGAACGAAGACGCTGACTACGCTTCCTTCAGTCTCTTAGCAATACATACAGCATTTCTTTCCACTCCCAACAAAGAATTGATCACTCATGAAACAGTAGGGTCCAATTTGCATGCGTTTAACCCACTGCAAGAAGCAGCAGCATTGTTTACGATTAAAATGATTGGAGTAGGTTCCCGTGACATATTGTAGAGAGAATTCAACCATGCTGAATAGTCATTTTCATTGAACAAATATAGCGTTTTATCAAATTTACTCTTCCATCAGAACAATGCCCAACTATTTCCTACCATATAAAACT